TAAAGCCAAGTAATCCTATAGGGACTTTTCTTGAATTCTCTTATAATGATCTTATCTGCTAAATGCTAGAGGTTAAGATCAATATGTGAAATTTCAAGTTGAGTAAAAAGAAGAGTTTTGAATTTCTAATGGTGGGGGTACCTTTTCTAATTTTCTAAGACTAGTCAATAGGAAAGTCCTATGGCTAGACCTAGGCTACTAAAGAAGTTTTCTAGACCTCAACCAAAAGTGAGGTCAACACCAACCAATGTTGGTTGAACACTTTTCATTACACAACTATTATAAATTTGCCAATGACTGGGTCAAGTCATCAGTCACTCCTACTATTGATTGTTGCTCAAGAAAGAAGACATAAATCTACCTTTAGATATCTTAATGTATGGTCCAAGAACACTAATTTTATGTGATGCATTCAAATGGCTTGGAAGACTGTTGAAGTTAGGAATCACTGACATAAGCTCTAGCTATTGCATAAGAATGTCTCTAAGGCATTAAAAAGATAGAATTGGGAAACTTTTGGAGACCTCAAAACAAAAGTTATTCAGGCTAAAATAGAAGTGACTGCACTTGAAGAGGCAATTAGTCTTGGAAATGCTGAAGAAGCTAGACTTGATATGCCCAATGCTAAACTTCTTCAAGCTATCAATTGGGAGGAAGATTTCCTTAGACGAAAACCTAATGCCCTAAAATTTACTAATAGAGAGAGAAATACTAAGTTTTTTCATGCCAGCATGAAATAAAGAAGGAAAATGAATGCCATTTTAAAATAGAGAATGAGGAGGGTAACTGTATTGAACAATCTAAGCATCTCATAAAAAGTGGCATCAATTATTTCAAAAATATTTTCAAACAACCCCGAATGCTTTAGTTGCTATCAATTCTTCATTATTTATTGACTGCCACTCGTTTACTGAAACTCTAGCACTAAACACTCCACCCTTTGATGTTTGTTTTATGTTTCATTGACAGTAACAGGGCAGCTGGTCCAGTCGGCTTTACTGCAGACTTTTATAAAAAGTGTTGGGGAACTGTTAAGAATGAGGTTGTTTCAGCTATCCAAAGTTTTTTCCTTGGAGTGGACCCTCCAAAGTATTTTACCACATCTTCTATAATTTTAATCCCTAATGATAAATCTAGAACAAAGTGGGAAGTCTTCATACCAAAATTTTGACCACTATAGTCTCCAAAATCATAAGCAAGGTAGTTCTCACAAGATTGCGACCTCGTCTTTCTACCCTCATATCCTCTAATCAGGGAGCATTTAGTAAAGGTAGAGGTATCACTAACAATGTCTTGCTTGATCGAGAGCTCTTTACTGATCTGGACAAGCCTGTAGAGGGGGTTATCTGGTGTTGAAGTTGGATTTAAGAATAACATATGGCATTATAAGCTAGAGCTTTATTATTGACACACTAAAGATAAGAGGCTACAAGGTGGAATTCTGTAATTTAATTAAGAGATGGCCGATTGGAAATCAATACACATTACTGATTAATGGATAGGAAAATAACTTCTTCAATTCCTCTAGAGGCATCAAGCAAAGAGACCCCTTGTCTCCACCATATTTATTTTGGCATTGACTACTTCTTCAGCATGATGAAAAAGAATCAGTGTTATATCCTTATATCTAATATTCTCATAGGTCCAAATGTTTTGTTAGCCAACTTGCCTATGTGGATGATGTTATTGTATTCACTAATGCTAGCAAACTTGCTGTTAAAAAAACCTATGCCAGCCTTATGCACTTACAAGTGATTTCAAGGATGCAATTCAATAAGTAGAAATGTCAGCTAATCCCAACTAGTAAAGTATCCTATATTACAAAAATGTTGATCAAGGATTACACAAGATTCAAGTGGGTTGATCTACCATTAGACTATTTAGGCATGCAAATGATCAAAGGCAAAAGGAAACGTACCCAATTTGATGATATTTTTAAGAAAATTCATAAGAAAATTAACTGCTCAACCACCTTATTTCTTTATAATGATGGAAAAATAACTCTCCTAAGAAGTATTCTAACATCTCTACCCCTATACATCAATTAAATGTTAAAAATGAAGACTAACTCTTTAAGTATGTTAGAAAGCAACATGAATAATTTTTTGTGGACTGGGCAAAACAAACAATTACATTGGACTTCAAGTATGCAAACCTATCTCCCGGGCGGCTTGGTTCCTAAAATTTTCAACACCTCAATGAAATAAATTTCATGAAACATTGGATTAGAGTCTAGTCTTCATAATCTTAATAGTTTATCTACATGATTGACAAATATTGCAAGGGCACTCATCCATCAAGAGTCTAAAGGAGGATTTGTGATTCCAAAACTTGGAGTAATATGCAAAAAGGTAGGAACAAGGTTGAAGACCTGTTTGTTTGGGACATTTGTGAAGGTAAGGTAGACTTTTGGTTGTATAACTAGTTGGGGGATGACAACCTTTTTGAGTGCTAAAGGGTTATGGAGTCCATCTTAGCTGCAGACCATTGAAAAGACAACTAATGGGATTTGGAGAAACTATACTGTTTGGCGGGTTATACTCTTCCTATTAACATTAGTAAGATTCTCATTAACAGTAAGGTAAAGAATAAAATAATCACCAAAAACCCATCACACTTTTCCCTTACCAAATACATTTATCAAGGCAATTACAAGTGGTTCGAGGTTGAATAAGGGAAGGTTTTGTGGAATAAGTTTCTATCTACTTCCATGTCCTTTTTCTGGAGAGTTTTTCACAAGTTGCTCCCTGTTGATGATATATTAAAACTAAAAGGTATTAAGCTCCCTTGATGTTGTCTATTGTGCAAGAAGGAAGAGGAAAGTGTAACTCATTTGTTCTTTGAGTGCAAGTTTCGTACTGAGGTTCGGAAGAAAGTATGTCTCATTATTCAGGTTCATCAATTAAAGCAGAATTAGAATGGTTTATTGAGCCGTTGAAGATATTGGAAGACTCTAAACCAGAGAATTATCACTTTACTAACCATTTGGATCTTATGGATGGCCATAAATATTGTGAAACATCAAGAAACATCTATTAGTGTGAATAAGGTGGTCTCAAACACAATGACATACATCTTCAAGCTGATTAAATACACTGACTGCCCGGATTGTGCAGGTTTGGTTCTATATGAGGTCCCCCGCTGAACAAGTAAACAGTGTCTAGTGCAGAAGGTTTTCTCGAGAAAACCTCTTTCCCATTTGATCAAGGTCAATATTGATGGCAGTTTAAGGGAATGGTGCTACCAGAGTTGGTGAAGTCTTTAGAGATGGGCTGGGCCATTGTCTACTTTTTTTCATAGTCCCCCAGCATGCCTGAAAATGCATTGGAAGCTGAAGTTGAAGCTTTTTGGAAGGCTGTTTTGATTGTAATAAATCTTAAACAAAGTGCACTTCATGTGGATGTCGGCACTATTTTTGGTGTGGGGTT